TAACGCTGGCAGTGCAGGCTTGGCAGCTCACTCCAGACCTCTCTGGCCACAGGACAGCAGGGACAGCCTCTTTCCTGTACAGAGTTTAATGGCTCAGAACCACTTAAGGCCCTCGAAAATGTGTAAAGCTTCCACTTTCCAACACTGCTTTCTGGCAGGACAGACATCCAGGGAATGCCTTCACTTTGCACGCTCCTGAACATCCCATCAATGAACAGGCACCAGCCTTGTGAGAAACCTAACATTGCCTTGCAGAGTCCACATCCTTCATCGGTTATGCCACCACCACCACCTGGTATTTCTTCTTGTGATAAAGCCAAAACACCAAGGGAACACCCAGGCTGCACTGCCATAACTCCAGGATGTATCTGCAGCAGCTCCCCAAAACACCACAGTGCCTGGGTGGTGGAGAGATATCAGCTGTGGGACACAACTCCTCACACTGAGCCTACCCCACAGAATAAGCAACAGTTATAGAATATCTAGGGGTTTTTTTCCAAATTATTGTTGCCTGGGGAAAAGCAGACTATTTCCAAATACACCCTGGGATGCCTCTCCAATTGCAGACACCATTTAACTCATACATGTGCACAACAGTCTCCCAAGCAGGTTTTCCAGCCAGGAGAGGTAATCACGTCTGTGTGCTAGTGGGAGACAGCTGCAAAGAGCGAGGGCTGGGAGCTCCCCCTCTCTGTGTGTGTCCCTGCTGAACTTGTCTGGTGTGAGATGGAGACAGAAGCAACAGTACCAACCTGTTACAGCCATACCTTCAGGAAAAGTCCAAGGTACTATCAGTGGACCTTCCTGAGCAACGGATCAATACAGAGCTTCATATCAGCTGCGCCGTTATTCACGCCAAAGGCAGTTGTTGGGATGAAGAGTGCACAAGTTCACTGGTTCTCAGCGTATAAGCCCTTCCTCCCCTGCCCTGTAGATGCCTTCATTATTTATGTGTGACAAATAAAAGACAGCAGTGGAAGATGCTAAAGTGCTTCTCAATGTGCACCTCTGTTTCCCAACATGGGCGGGCCGGGACTGTGCACCCAGGCCAGGCTGTGGGCACGCTGAGGAGCTGGTGTGCCACTGCTTAACATGCACAAAAACCCACTTCCAGGCAGTA